AGACAGTAACAAAAGGAATAACAGTTATTTATTGGTCTATTATTCTTTACACTTCACTTTCAGCATATTGCCTCCAACAATCAGGGTCTTCTTTTCACCAACCTCAGAAGGATGGAAGGCTGTGTCAACCTCGAACCTGTCAGATTCAAACTCCTGGCACTGGGCAGAGTTTGCCTGCAATATTGCATTCCAACCACTGTGTTACCAGGGAAATATTCATGCAATCCTCACTGCACAGAGTAATATCAACCAATGTTGCTCCATTTGTATTTCTTCCGTATAAATATATATTCAATGCCCTCAATCCTGAAGCTCTGTCCCCTCATTGATCCAGGGACAACATTGGTGAAGAAGAAACTGTGTAGCTGATCTCCCAACTCTAGATGTAGTTAGAAGAATAAATTCTCTACTGCATTGATACCTTGTCAGAAGTTGTGGAATCATTCAAGACTTTATTATACCTATATATGAGAAGAAATGAAAAACAGGCTGGTGATGCCTGGAAAATGAGTTCATGGACATGGTAGGCCTGGGTCACTGCCTGTTCCAGCCAAACCATTACTGCTTCAGCCAAACTGGTCAAAACTGGTAGGAAGCCACCACTGATACACACTCAACGAGAGTATTTATTCCTCATAGTGAAGCCATGGCTGAGTTGAACATTAAATATAATCCAACAGTGTGCGGTGGCAGCCAAAAAAGCCGATGCAATCCTAAACTGCATTAACAGAGGGCTCCAATCAAGATCTCATGAGGTAATAATATTACTCTATAAAGCCTTAGGGAACACTGCATCCCATTTTGTTCACCCCACTATAAAAAGATGCGGAGACTCTAGAAAATGTGCAGAGAAGAGCAAAAGAGAATATTAGGGGCCTGGAGGCTAAAACATATGAAGAACGGTTGCAGGAACTGGGTATGTCTCGTTTAATGAAAAGAAGGACTTGGGGAGACGTGATAGCAGTCTTTCAATATCCCAGGGGTTGCCCCAAAGAAGAGGGAGTCAAACTATTCTCCAAAGCACCTGAACAAGAGGCAATGGGTGTAAACTAATCAAGGAGAGAAGCAACCTAGAAATAAGGAGAAAGTTCCTGACAATGAGTGCAATCAACCCATGGAACAGAAGTTGCCTTCAGAAGTCGTGGGAGCCTCATCACTGAAGGCTTTAAAGAAGAGGCTGGACTTCCATCTGTCAGAAATGGTGTAGGGTATGTGCTATCTTAAAAATATCTCCTTCCAAACTTTCTATTCCACATTCACAACCTCTCCTTTTGAACCACTTTTGAGAATTTCTGAAATCTTTGTTTTAATTACTCTAATATGAACCTGCTATTTTTCCTATGAAATTATACATTAAAGGAGTATCCCTTTTCTTTTATTAAGAGTGGCGTGTTATGTGAAAATCACCCATATAAACTGTGAGATTAATGCACTGAGGGGCAGCTTTATTACCAGGAAATATGTAAATGAAGGCAAAATTTCTCCTTTAAAGGAGCCGCTGGGTTTCCCTTTTCAGGCTACACCCAACCACACAAAGTTTGTGCACTTTCCTCAATCCATTCCTATCCATTCCTTTCATTGGTTACAGGGAGCAAAAAATGATCCTGTGGCTGAATTTGGTGCCCTTGTTAGTGTTCCTTCAAGGTATATTTTTCCCCTCTTTAAATAATTTCTGTCCATATTCTCTTTTTGTATA